CAAAAATGGTAAATTTAGTAGTTACCAATAAATAAGTTGGGGATCAAAGGGACTAAAGCCTTAGACTGGCTCTTTATCATAAGATATCCTCAGACAAACCTCCCCATTCTTCATTCTGGCTCTATAAAATTAAGGAGCAGAGAAAAACTGGTAAGTGCTTGACTTTACATTAAAAAAAAAAAAAAAAGCCATGCTAGTATTTCCTTTATCATTATATATATATATATGTGTGTTTAAATAAATCCAACTACATCACCATCCCCCACCCTATCCCTCCAAAAATCTAGCTTAAAATAGGTGGTGGGGAAAAGTATTCCAAGTATTGCAGAGAATATCAATTTAGCAATTTCAGCATGTTGTACTTCAATAATTTAAGAATCAACTTTAGTACCAGTGGCATGTTAAGACAGCCAAACATTAAAAAATGAATAATGGGCCAATTTCTGGGCTTTACCCAATATATAATTATGTATTCATACAAACAAGCTCCAAAAGGAATAAACATGAAGTTTGGTCTAAAAATGTCAAAACTAATCCCTTATTTACCAAGTGATGAAGTAAAATAAAAAAGATATCTTTATTATTTAATCAAAATGTCTACTGATATTTTAGCAACTATGATTTGAATACACATTTAATGTTACATTTTTATTACTGACTGTAATATGCTAACAGAAAATTTGTATCTACTGACCCTCTTCTCTATTTGGCTATAAAATGAAGGACTACCTTAAACTATGTGTTTATACAAACTGGTTAAGAGAAAAATTTTTAAATTTTTCTGAAGAAAATAAGCATTCTTAAAGATAGAAATGTATATTTCACAAATTTTTTAAAAATCAAAATCATTTTGAGATTTACATATACCTTTAAGCTAACAGACAGAAGTACATTATAAGTTCAAAGTAATCTTTGCTGCTTAGAAATAATCAATTGAAGTAAAAGACCTGACACTAAATAGAAAAATCACGATACATGAAAAATTAGATTAAAATTGACCAATTAGGACTTCTACAAAAATACGGCTGAATTTAGATCTTCACAGCTATATTTACAAGTGTAGAAGCAAAATCATTTCATCACATTGATTAAGTGAATGCTATACCCCAAACTACAAGACTAAAAAAGTTATAAATCTAGGCATTTTGATCAATCCAACAAGAAATAGGTTGAAAATAGTCTAAGAAGTCAAAGATGGCACTGTCTTAGGAAATCTACTCTTTTCCACATAGAAAAACTTCTGGGAGAATTATTGATTTCTCACTATATGACTGAGAAGCAAAGAAGTTGGTATCTTAAACAGAACATTCAAAATATATATACCAAGACAATACATAACTGGGGATGGGGGAAGTGCACAGTGGTTAAGATTTTACATAGCTGTGAAGAAATCTGGGTTTAGAATCCTGGTTTCGTCAGTTGCTAACTGGGTGGCCTCAGACCAGTCATGGAACCTCACTGAGCTTCCACTTTCTCATTAGGATACCTCCAACCTTTCACAGGGTGTCTTGAGAATTAGCACAGGATGCTTAAACCAAACTGCTGAGCCCAGGGCCTCACATACAAGCAAGCAAACTGCTGAACCCAGGGCCTCACATATGAGCACTCAAGCATTAGTTACCATCATGATTATTTTTGTTGTCATGGTATCCAGAACAAAAAGTTTTCCAGCAGTTTGTGGAGTGCTTTTTCTCTTATTCCACTCGCTATTTTATGACCATAATACTCAAATACTCTCCCACAGATGTAAACTTGCATCATGCATCAAAAACATAAATGAATCTCTTTTTAGGAAACATGCATCTTGTCATTCCTGCATTTCTTCTCAGAATATATTGATGAAGAGAACAGAATAACCTGAAGCCTTACTCCTCCACACAGACTTGAGCTTGGCTCCATAATGGCCTTAATCTACAATGTATTCTCACTCTAAATTCAGAATGGACCACCACTTTCTGCTTCCCCAAGACCTAAATGGCTAAGAAAAATGGTTCACTCAGACTGCTAAATAGACAACGTCTCAATGTAGTACTCAGTTTCGTTTGTGTACAAAGCAATGTGAAAGTAGTCACAGAGGAGAAATAGGACCACAGCTTTCTTCTAAAGACAAGGAACTGTAATTAACAGTAGTCATTTATTTTAAACAAAGGTTATAAGGGGGTAAGGAAAATTTTATATGGGACCTCAATCATCCTATGCTTTTCTCCCTAAGCTTACTTTCCCCAATTAAAGATCTAAAAATAAGCCAGGCACGGTGGCTTATGCCTGTAATCCCAGCACTTTGGGAGGCCAGGGTGGGTGGATCACCGGTCAGGAGTTTGAGACCAGCCTGGCCAACACAGTGAAACCCCATCTCTACTGAAAATACAAAAATTAGCTGGGAGTGGTGGCGTGTACCTCTAGTCCCAGCTACTTGGGAGGCTGAGGCAGGAGGATTGCTTGAACCTAGGGGGTGGAGGTTGCAGTGAGCCAACATTGCGCCACTGCATTCCAGCCTAGGTGACAAGAGCGAAACTCTGTCTCAAAAAAAAAAAAAAAGACATAAAAATAGTACTTCAAAAAAAGGGACAATATTAACTATTAAAATAATCCCATAGGGAAATACATATACATATGTACATATATACACACCCAAATAAATATGGATCTGCAATAATGTTATCCCCTAGTATATTAAACACTCAATATATGTTCTAAGGTAAACTTAACACTGCTGTCATACTCTAAGGTCTATACCAATTTCCCAGTAGCATTTAAAAATCTAGGCATAGCTGGGCACAGTGGCACATGACTTTAATCCCAGCACTTTGGGAGGCCGAGGGGGGGCAGATCACTTGAGGTCAGGAGTTCGAGACCAGCCTGACCAACATGATGAAACCCCACCTCTACTAAAAATTCAAAATTAGACAGGCATGGTGGCACATGCCTGCAATCCCAGCTACTTGGGAGGCTGAGGCAGGAGAATCGCTTGAGCCTGGGAGGCAGAGGTTGCAGTGAGCCAAGATTGTGCCATTGCACTCCAGCCTGGGCAACAAGAGCGAAAGTCCATCTCAAAATAAAAAAAATCCAGGCACAAAGAAATATCAATACCCTAACCATTGCTCTCCAGGAAAAACATTAAAATTAAAAGTTGAACTTCAATAACTTTAAATACATTTTAAAGCAAATTTAATTAATTAGAAAATAATGAAAAACTTGGAAGAAATGCCAGGTTCTGATAGAGCAGAATATAGATCCGTAACAAAATATGAAAGTGATCAAGGGAAGAGAAATATATGAAGAATTTTAATCCTGGTTTTGACCTAATTTTTTTAAAAGTCTGATTAGTGAAAAGCAAAATAAGGAGATACTAAATTTAAAAACCAATTTTACAACAGTAGCATGTATGCTTATAGTCAGCACACCTGATACTAAAAACAAACCTCCAAAATAACATTTCTAACCAATTGGTAAATCAGCGTGACAAACTATACACACAAGGCAAAGGGTTTGTGTTAATTTTACTACTGAGGAGTAGATGGCATCAGGGCTGCCAATCTAATACTTAACTTTTGCAGGTACCTTAACTGCTCTTCTGATAACTACAAGATCATTAAGTGTACAATGCATTGTCTCACATTTAGTAGATGTCTATCCAGATGATGTCATCTGAACTTCAAGCAATTCCCACAACCCAACCAGTCAGTGACAGATGCAGTGGGATCCTCAAATAGCTTTCCCTTCCTCCCAGAGTCTAAAAGTTAGGAAGTTAAAATGGATAAAGTAAGTTACTCTTCTTCCTTTATTTCATTCCCTTAAAACTGAATGCATCCAAGGCTAAAAAATGGACTTAAAGTCTCCTTTGGTGACTAAAAAAAGACAAGAACAAACTGATAAACAAGTATGTAACAAAGAATGGGCTAAAATAGACTAGAAATACAAAATCATATTTTTAATGCTTTGGGAAAATGAGCCAGTGGGCCAAAAATATTCAAGACTTTTTATATACATGCAACATATACTTAACAACTATTTTAGTGAAAACACATTTCATTTTTTAATATTTACTAATCACTTCTCATGCTGTAAGCTTTCCATATGATAAAAATCACAATTAGCTCTAAAGCATAATTCAATTTGGTATCTGAATTATGGTATCATTAAGTTTTTAGAAAAAGGTAGCCTTATCTATGAAACGTTAAGCTTCAGAAATAGAAGGTACATCAGCATCAACTGCACGATTAACCCAGGATGACTATGGTAGTTAGAAAGAAAAGGGAGTTACACATCTGGGGATATGAAGGTAAGACAAGAATGCAGTTTGACAGAACGTGGTTTGATATTTAACAAGAGCAAAGAGAAATGCAAATGCTGTTTAGTTTTGCTAACAAAAAAAAGAGAAGGTTCTACAAAAAGTACAATTAGAAAACACTATCATTTGCTTGGCTACATTTGCATTTAATGGACATGAGGTAAAAATATGAGCCAATTTGGAATGAAAATGTCATAATCTCACAGTCAACTCCTGATTATCTACACTAATGTAAAAGAGGGGGGGTTATCTTAAACAATTTGAAGCAATAGATGGAGGGGTTATCTTAAACAATTTGAAGGAATAGATGGAGGGGTTATCTTAAACAATTTGAAGGAATAGATGGAAGGGTTATCTTAAACAATTTGAAGCAATAGATGGAGAGTTCTCAACTTACTGCTACTTTCAGCCAATCTTTTCCCTTCTTAAAGTAGTCTGTCCTCTAAAGGTTTAGACTCCATTGTTTTAGGGTCCAAAAAAGGCCATCGGGAAGAGGCCCGACCGACAGACCATCTCCAAACTGAACCATCCATCCAGAGATAACTGAGTTGACGTGACTGACACATATTCCAATGAATAAACTGCACATGGATGGACACTACATGCCAGCATGCTTCAGTGTACTTTCTGAAACTGTAAGAATGATGAATGAGACTTCCCAGCAAGAGCAAAGCATGCTAGTGCCTAGTGAAGAGAACAAGTAGCTTACCTCCTGCAGTAGATCGGCCTGCTCAATTGCTTTAAGGACATTTTTCTTGGATGTTTCCTGAACTTCCCCTCCCAAAAGAAACTCATCCAAAATAAAATAAGCCTTCTCAAAATTAAAGATGATATCTAGTTCACAGACCTGAAAAGAAAAAAAAGAAAAGAAAAAACTGTTACAACTTAAAGAAGCAAAAGATGCTTATTCACTACCAGATAGTGAATACAATCTGACCAGAGTGAATCAATCTTAATTCTTTCTAAAAATGACTAAGTATCACTGACTTCAGTAAGCTTAATTTCCAAATCTCAAGTACTTGAAAACATATTCCTACAAGCTAAATAAGGCCGGGCTCTGCATGCTCCCAATGAGGGTAACTTAATAATTTCTACTCATGAAAACTGATCTTTAAACATATATTTCCAGGGTAACATGATCAGAACTGCTAACCAAATCTAAATTCTATACTAGGTACTTCCAAGATATTAATGTTTGTAGTTGGACTTGTTTATATTTCACTATTTTAAACCTCATCCTCACCATCTTAATTAAATGAGTTAGGTCTATAGGGCCAGCAATTCTGAAAGTTAGAAACTGAATAGGCCCGCTGATGAGAAATAGTCATTCCTGCCCTCTCCTGCGGTTAGAATCCCAATACAACCAAATAATAAACTTGTTAGAAAAAAGTTTCTAAAAAATACTATGGCATTCAATTTCCTAAAATAAAATACTACTCACACTGCCAAAATACTTGTCAAGTAATTCCACATAACGATGAATTATTTCCAGGGTAATTAGTTCATTGTCTTGATCCTCAATAGCACAGCAAAAATACAGACTAGCATATCTGTAACAAAGTACAAATGTGAAAAAAATTGTTACCCTGTAATCATGTTTTCTAAATATATTCTTGTATTCTATTATGAAAGACCCCAAGTTTATACAGCTTATTTCTTCTTTCACAACAGTACAGATTTTTCTCCTAGACTACAAAAGTAATAAATACATAAGAGAAATTTTGAAAAGCACAAGCAAGAAAAATGAAAAAAAAAAAAATCATACCACTTAGAATAAGTTATTTTGCCCCTCTTTCTTTCAGGTTATTTTCTATAAACATTTTAAAAGATGGCAGACCCGGTTTTTTCCTAAGTTTACTTAATTAAAACAAAATATACAGCAGATTAATTCAAACTATTAAGTACAGGGAAGAAAACAAACCTTCCAACTGAAGGAGGACTTGTCGAAGGTACTGTCAAGGTGAGGTCAATATTTTGAGATATCTTATTGGAACATGTATATAATATACACACAGAGAAGACCTTAAGTCCTAAAAGCTCAATGAATTTTCAAAGTGAATCCAACTACACACCAGCACCCAGATCAAGAGGCTGAACACTACTGAGCCCTGAAACTCCTCTGATACCCTCTCCCAGTCACAACCTCCCATCCCCAATGGTAACTATGCTCTTGAATTCTAACAGCATAGAATTGTTTTTAAAAAGGTTTCTAGAATTGTGAAATAAACCACAAGAAAAGAACAATAGCTCCATGTTATTACAGAAGTTAGAGAAAGAGAACAGAAAGTTCCTATCACTTAAGGGAAACAGAGAGCTGTCCTCAAATTTTCCAAGTTCTACACTGTTGAACTGAAGGGTAGTTTATTTACCCTAGAAGAGGGAATAAGGTTGAGAAACTTATATTCTCCTTCAAATTATGATTCTAGCATATGGAACCAGGTTATGCTTGACCCAAGGAAGCAAAACTGCAAGCTTGAGGCATAGCAAGTCCTGTGAGGGGATTAAAAGGGCATTTTAAATGGTTTACATGGACTTAAGGCTTTTGAAAAGAAAGAAAATAAAAACCTAAGATATGCTAAACATAGAATATATCAGTTGAGATTGTAATTTTCACTGAAGATCACTTAAATGATTTTTAGAAAACACAATGGGCAGTTATTACTCGTAGCATTAAAGTAAAATAATACTGCATACAGAATAACATGAACAACCTGTTTTGAGACTCAATGAATTCTTGCTTCTCAGTATGAAAATAACTGGTATTCACACAACAGCATTAATTTCAATATTATTAAAACCATTTCATCTTATTTGATGTTTTCAACAGGAAGTACTATCTTTCATCCTTGATTACAGATTTAAAAAAGACCAAAAAAAAAAAAAAAAAAAAAATGAGGCCTAAGTGTACAGGGCCTACAAGTGCTAGTACTGAGATAAGAAACCTGATCTTTTGACCTTAACTCCAGGCCTTTTTCTACTGTATCATACAAACTCACTTGGGATATATATTATGACTTTGTGCATGTCTACTCTATCTGACTTCCACACTAAGTTATTTAACATGGTGGGCCTCCAGCAGTCTTACTGAGAGGAGATATTCACGTGTTCATTTATCATCATTGCGAAGGGAGTAAGTCATGGAAGACAAAACAGGGCATCAATGCCAACTTTAACAAAGTGCTCCCTCTCTTTCCCATCACTACTCTGTTTTTGTTTATCTACTTAAAAGAGAATGGAGTATTCTATCTCTATCCTCCCTAACCCATGCTCATTAAATAGAACTTTGAATTTGGGGAAACTGAAAAATGATACATAAGATTCCCTGAATTAAGAAAACTAAAGAATAAAGTAACTGACATAAAAATGATAGATTAAAAACCAGATATGACTAGCTGATAGCAACAGAATGCTACATAATGTATTATACAGAGGTGACTAACAGTTTCAAGTAAAATTCCTTTTATTCTTACTTAAGATTTCCTCAATGCTACTACTGAACAATCTAATGCTTGTACCATCCCTGCTCCTTATCCACAGTACTGCCTCTTTTCTTACAAATAAAAAGCACTTAAACACTAGTCAAAGCTCCTAAACTGCATGAATCACTTGGAAGCATTAATTTAAAAATCAACAGTATTGATGTGTCTAAGCCCCAGCCAGTAATATTTAAACAAAAAACAATAAAAACAAACCCCATAAGACTATCTAAATGTTTACTTTCACTCAGAATCGAAAAAGAATAATCAAGTTAATGAATTTGTTGGTGTAGGTGAACAGATAGCTATCAGGATAATAACGTGGCTCTTTCCAGAAAGCTTAGGGAAGGAAGAAACAAGTATAATAATTAAGTACCATTCATTGAATCCTCACCCTACATGAGACACTAAATGTCAGCTAAGGCTTTTGCATACTTTACCATTCTAATCCTCACAAGGACGGCATCCCTGAGATACCATTATTACTTGCATTGATAAGAGACCCAGGTTTGAGTAACTTGCCTAGGAACAGCAATTTGACTACAGAGCTCAAGTTTTACATTTAAAACTATAGCCAGCAATTGTATTAAAGTAATCCTGGCAAAAATTAAAATATGCTCAAAACAATATTTTAAGAGCTTTGAAGAAGAGAGAAATAAAAAATGCCATACTGATTTAGTAAAAGATTACCAAGAGAACCTGAAGTATACTTCCTATATTTAGGACCAAATGGTTTTAAAAAATTCAACAATAAGCTCATTTTGTTCTCTTAGTGCATATTTGTAAGTCTAAATCTGAAGTAAAATTAATAATAGACTAGTAAGAAGAAAGGTATGTTTGGTTATTTTTAGCGCAGTGGATTAAGCTTACTCTAATTACTGGCACTCAGAGAACATCTGAAAGTGCCTATTCTTATATTCAAAACACATGACTTCTCCGCAGTCAGCTAAATATCAGCTAAATATCAGCTGACTGTGGGTGAATGTAGCTAAAGTATTCTCAATACCCATTGGTATGTCATTAAAAATTCTTTTGTTAGTAAAGAAAATCAATAAGTATTCTTTAATAAATTCTCAAGTTAGTAATTCGGAGAGATATATGTTTTTAAATTAATTTTAAAAGACCTTAATCCAGTGACTCTTCCACAAAACGCTACACGAAACAGGAATCAAAAAAGCATAGTATTCTGTCTTACAGGGATCTTTAAGAGCATTTATTTTAGAGATAAGGAAACAAAGTGACTTGTTTAAAGTCATAAAACTAGCTAACGTTACAAAGGGAACAGAACTCAAGTCCCCAGATTTTTAGTCTGTCTTTTCAGGTAATATTAATTATCCTTATCCCTCTATGATTCCCCCTCAAAAGGGAGAATTTGTATGCCAAATAGGATGAAGAATGTGGGTGAGAAAATTTAACAAAAACAACAAAAAGCACTTGCTGGCATGAACAGCAAAAGGGCTAGTCCAGAATTTCTCAGGAGCTAAGCAGTAATTCTCTTGCTTAAAAAGGTCTTCTCTTCCAGTAGTAGAAAAACAAATCACTTGTTTATACCAACAAAAAATATGTCTGTAAGTGGTATAGTAGGTGAGGTTTTTGGTATGAAATGAAAGGGGGGATGCATAGAGAAAGAGAAGATAAATTCCACCTTTTGTATATGACTGATATCTCAATAAAGCAGTTAGTTTTTTAAGTCTACCTTTCATTTAAAGGGGTTTGATGTAAGTATCAGAGTTGGGTTAGATACCCTTTATAGCTTTTAAAAGAAAAAGTAGTGGCTCGACACAGACACACGGGCTGAGTGACACGTGCGTGAACACCAAGCAGTGCTTTCCTTTCTTCCCGGAACAGTCCATTCCTGGGACTGAATCCCTTGCTGGTATTTTCCTCCTCCACACGGGGGACTCCTTCCCCTATCTAGAAATAAGCTTAAGAATCTCACACCTTTTTTAAAAACCTTGTTCCCCACTCCTATGTCTATGAGCAGTTACCACCTCATCTCCTGTCCTTCACAGCAAAGTTTCCCAAAATAGTCTACACATGCTATTTAAATTTCTCCACCTCTTCACACTTCAGCCCATTACATCGAGAGTTCTATCTCCACTATGCCACTGAAAATGTTCTGGCAAAGGGCATTATATGAAATGCTCACTGTAAAATCTATCAGATTCCTTCTTCACTTTCATTGAACTTTATGAAACATCCGGCACTGGTGAAACTCTCTCCGTTTTCCTGACTTTACTGACCCAAGACTTACTCTCTTTGGTTCTCATTCCACTCTGAAGGTCTCTTCATCTCCTTTGCCTGCCATTTGAATGCTGATGATCTAATACTTTGTCTTATTCTCCCAAGACTTCCATACCTACGCCAACCACATCCCACCAGAAAATCAGGCTTCTCATAGTGAAAGTCACATAGACATCCCCAAATCAACTTGCCTCAAAATGAGCTGAGTTCTCTAGCTCACCTTGTACTCCATTAGCAAACCAGAAATGTGGAGATCACCCCACTCCTCCCTTTCCTTTGCTGCTCTCTCCACTTTTTGTCTTTGTTGTTGTTGAGGTTCTCACTCTGTCACCCAGCCTGGAGTGCAGTGGCGCAATCAGGGCTCACTGCAGCCTTGAACTCCCAGGCACAGTCAATCCTCCCACCTCAGCCTCTAGAGCAGCTAGGACTACAAGTGCATGCCACCACACCCAGCTTTTTTTTTTTTTCTTTTTTTCTTTTTTGTAGAGACAGTGGGGTCTCACTAAGTTGCCAGGGCTGGACTTGAACTCCTGGGCTCAAGCAATTCTCCTGCCTTGGCCTTCCATGTTCTTCCCACTTCTAGAGGTGACCAAGTCTTATCAAACCTATCTTAATCATAGCCTTCCTTTCCAGTGCCTGGGTTCAGGACCTCATTATCAGGTAGTCTCCTACTGATCTTGCAGGTGCCAGTCTCAGCCCCTCCTGCCCTCATCTATTGCCCTAGTTCAATCTTTTAAGATATGTAAACCTGATCTTTTTTCAGCCCTGTTTAAAATCTTTGCCTCCAAGCTTAAGATCTGAGTTGCAGCCCCATGTCAATCACTAACTGGCATATGGCCCTACACAAGTCACTTCTCCCAAATTCGCATTCTTTATAAAACTAAAGTTTGCTCAACAATGGCAGTTTTCAAACCCAGGAACTGTGGCCTGTGCAGAGGGCAAAGGCCAAGTGAGCCAGGGTACAGGATCCTCCTTCCTGATTTCACATGGAACAGCCTCACTTCCACTCATTTTATTTAAGGTTCTACCCATGGGGCAAAAAGCTTAAAATAAAATTAAACAAAATCACCTGACTAGATTACTGTAAAATATCTTTCACCTCTGAAATGATATGATTTTTCTATGATCTTTAATAAGACCAAACCAAACACTGGATATAAAATCACCCAAAGATACAAAATCACCAAAGATCATTCAATAATAAACAGAAGTCCTCAATATTTAAGAAACTCTCTCTGTCTTATAATCTCCATTTCTTCCTAGCCATCTCCCTGACAAAATACCCAATCCATATTTGGAGTGCATTAAAGGGAAGCCCAGAAGAAAACCAGACTTCTCTCCCAGCCTCATTGTATCCCATACTGTTAATTCCATGCATACTTTCCACACAAGACAACTTTTTATATGCAGAAATGCTCTTATCTTAAATTCAGTAAATTATTCAAAAGGAAACACATGGGGAATAAAGTAAATGTCCCCTCAAAAAAATATTCCATAAAAGAAGACAGTTTATTTCTTTTAACTTACTTAAAACAATCTTGAGAAATTTATTTTATGGCATTCAGAGTTTCAGATATTTATAAAATAAAGATGTACTGCATTAAAAAAAAATTGCAGTGTTAAAAGCCAATCTATGAGTCACTTTGTAACATCAAATTTTTTAAAAAAATCTGTCAAAATTATCTGTCAGATTTAATCACACCCCCACCACAGCAACAAGGGTACTTTAAGTTAATAAACACTACTTACACACAGATCTTGTATATACACAAAGTTTTTAAAACATCTATGTGATTGAAATAGTCTACACATTCAAGGTATTTATACGCAAGATTCTAAAAATCAGATATAGGCATGTCAAATATCAGTCATTACTTTATAGATTTTCAGGGAAAAGGGATTAGACTCTATATGTACATGTCTAAATTAAGAGAATTACCCACACAATTTAAAATACTGACCCTACTTTCCCCTGTAATGAAATGAATTCATTAAACTCTTCTATAAAGATGATTAAGCATGAATAATCATTTATGCCTTTAATTATGTAACTAGTTTTCAAATGATTTCCCTGCCTTTATCATTTCAGCCTCAGTAATCAATCAAAATACCAGTTATTTTAAAAACACAAAGCTTTATCTTAAACCTATTTCATCTAAATCTTTATTAATCATTATTTATAAATGTCATCACTCAAAAGTCTGCAATTTCCTAAGTGACCTAACATTTGATTCTATTGCACCTTTCTGATAAATAAAAATTATACCTTTTGTAAACAATCTTCAGATCTCGCCACTCAAGGAAGCTGCACATTTTAGGTTTCCGTGCTAAAACGGTCTGAACAAGTTCTCTGGTGATCTTTTTCTTCTCTTTGTCTGATAGTGGGACGTACCATTTTTGCAGTCGAAGCTTTCCCTGACGACTAAAAAGCAACATAAACTGCATCTGTTAAGATAAATAAAATCAAGATTACATGGCATACTCTGAATCAATAAACTTAAGATTATGTGTTTCACAGAGAAGCTCTGGGGGATGGGGCATTTAAATGACAAATGATTGGTAGCCATCAATATTTCTATGCCAATTAAAATAGCAAGAAATTCTTTTGAATAGATCTTCTTCTAGATGCAAACTTTCCAGTCCCACCTTGTTCCACAATACATTTGGAGGGGAGCGTGCAGGAGAAAAAAAGAAAAATAGGTAATAAGCTGAAGTGAAATTTTGAAGAAAAATAAAGATCACTCTTTCAATTTAAGAAACTATTTTCTACCTGTGCTATACATTGCGCAGTCTCTATATGCACCAAAAGAGAATGGTAGACATCAATTGGTTTGACTTTTGAAAGAAACAGAAGACCTGCTATTTTTCACCCTGAGGCCGTTGTTGTTCCAGGCTGAATTACTTGTAGACAGTAGCTTAAATCTTGGAATGCTCTCCTCAGTTTATGATGGCATATTTTAAGCAAAACAGAATGATCCAAAATATTAACCAAAAAATCCCATAAATACAAATTTTCCTTAATCAAAACATGTTTTCATCTTACTTTTAAAACATTCCAACTCAAATATGTACAAAATCTAGAACTGAGTTAATGTAGTATTATGACAGAGAATACAAACATTAAAAAGGCCACAATAAGATTTATACTTATTAAGATTTAGTATTGAGACATTATATGAAATACTTCATTTAAAACAAAAAATAGTATCTACAAAGAGTGGATGCTGAATTCTAATGTATTTTATACTTAAACTAATTTGTATGTATTTATTTGTAATCTGCAAATGTGTTAATTAGCCTTCATGTTTCATTTTTAACGCCAAGGGTTTCTTAATTCAATTGGTCATCACAACTGCGAACAGAAGTATTGTTTCTACAAAGGTAATTTAAAGGCAGAATTTGCATAGGTATCGTTTTTTTCTTTTAACTATTTTAAGTTCCCTTAACAGCGTTACTGCAAGTAAGATTTAAGCCTGATTCTCAAGATTCATCGCACCATCTTGAATTTGAACACGGGGGAGGGGAAATTTACACAACCAATGTAAAATAAAAATGGGCCCTAAATTTTGGTAAGAAGATTATCGTTACTCTTTTGTAACCATCCAAAAAGGTATCAACACGATATCTAGAAATTTATGATGTGGCAATTCAACTTCAGTAAAGTTAAAATGGTCTTATTACCTCACTTAAAATATGTCAAGGGCACAAAATATACGGACATTATTAGAAGATATCGAAGTGCCTCCCGAGCAAGTCCTGAAGATAGCGGCATTCGAAGGGGGCAGCAAGTGAAGCATCAACTGGACATTTACTGCAAACCCGTTACCAAAACTTGGAGAAGAATGAATCCCGTATTCCTAGATCTTAGCCACCAGAAGGGGTGAGGGTTTGCTTGCGAAAAGAGTATGAGCTCAAGGCTGTCTGGAGCAGGGTCCTGTATCCGCCCTACCACTTTGCAGGACGAAAAAACAATGTATTCTCCTTAAAACAAATTACGTGCTAACATGGGACGAAACCCGGTTGCAAGGCACGAGTATTCCTTCCCTCGTGTTAAAAACCAACGCTTTGATTTTGCCGAAAATCACAGGGTACCACAATTCCTCGAGATTAGCATTAAAAACAATGGGCTCAGCCGCGGCGCGGGCCCGGGGCCAGCGTTCCACGGGTCCGGCCGTCGCCAGTGCCTCCCCGCTTCCCGTGGCCACACTCCATCACTGACCAAGCCCGGGCGAGGTGAAAGGCAAGGAGCGGAGCAGACAATGGCATCCGCCGCCGCGCAGGGGGCGCCAAGAGTCCTCGGCCGCCACCGCCCCCGGCCCCTCCCGAAAACACCCAGCAAAACTTGAGGCGATTCTCGAACCACAGGTGCTGCGGGGCTGTCGCGGAGTCCGGGACTGGCCCCCACATCCCCGGGCGCGGCGCGGAGTGGTGCGCAGGGCGCGGACACGGAGAGAAGTGAGTTAAAGGCGCGGCGACCCAGTGGCGGGCCGGGCGGGCGCGGGGTGGGGTCGTCGGGGCGCGCGCGGGGTGGCGGGGGGCGCGCCCAGCCCTCCCTCTCGATCTCCATCCCTGGCGCCCCCGCTTGTCCCCAGGGACTTACGGCGGCCGCGGGCCGCGGGCGCGGCGGAGCTTGGCCGGCGGCGGCGGCTAAGGGGAAGCCCCTGTCGCCTTGCTGAGGAAGAGAAGCCGTGGTGCTGTGGGGAGGGGACCCGGCTGGCGGAGGGCAGGCTTAGGCAGAGAGGGGAGGGCGAGCCTACAGACCCCGCCCCGGGGGCCGGACGAGGGAGGAGCCGGGGCTGCGGTGAGTCGAGGGGCGGGTTACGCGACGCGCGGGAAGCGGCTCAGCCGTCACCAACTGCACCGAAGGCAGCGCAGGTGACCGCTGAGTCCAAAGAAGCCGATTGGAGGCTTCTTCGCCGAGAGGAGTGGTGCGAACCGGAAGCCAGGCCACGTGACCCGGAAGCGGCGTCTGCTGGCCCCGCGCGCCCGCGCGCTCCTGCCGGTGCCTCCGGGACGCGCGCGGGCGGCTGTCCTGGCTGTTTAATGAAAGGAGGACGGGACTCTGCGGCGTCCTTAGCCTAGCCGGAGGTGCGGGGCAGAGAAGGTCCGGACAGCGGAGAGCCAAGTTGGAGCTCTGATAATTCTCCGTGTCCCTAGAGGGTGGGTCGGGGAGGTGTGACAGCTGACGAGGAGGGTGGGAGGAGTGAGGGAGTGCTGCAACTCTGGAAAAACAATTCAGCTCTTCTGTGGAGCTAGTCACGCTTTCACGGGCCTTTTGCTATCATTCTGTTCCAAAATTGCCCAGAATCCAGGCTGTCCTTCCCATTGCACTGCTCCAGCCCTAGCCCAGACACCTTTCGCCCCGAGCTTCGCAGGGGTCTGTTCCCTGGGCTCGCCTCGCCCCTCCTTGATGCTGCGGACTGGATGAGTTACCGTCCGTTCGGCTGAAAAGCCTGGACAGCACCTCACCTTCGAGATCCCGCTTCCTTCACACCCGGTCGCCCCACCAGCCGCCTGGGTTCCAGTTTAGCACTGCCGACGACTTGCTGTGGGTGGCATGTCTTTGCTCTCAAATGTTACATCTCCTGCGAAGCCTCAACCTAAAACCCTGTAAGAGTGATTCCCTCATTCACCCGCATGCCCGTTAGCCTTTATTTAGCACACCTTAAATTATATTCATTTTGCATCCCAACCTAGTTCATTGCCTGGTAAATGTGTGAGTTGACTGATAAGGACTATAAAATGATAAATTTGTTAAGAGCTGTAATGCTGAGCATAATGCGGGGGCATAATGGATGTTCATAATTTTCTGAATGATAGAATGGATGAATCATCTAGTCCTTTACAGATAAAGAAAGGGGAGCCCCACGGGATTAGATGACCTTCCTTGAAAAGCCACGGGTTTCCCATATCGAATGCTATTCATTACCCGAGTCACCTAGGTTCTTACAGAGGAATCGAGAAAATTGCTTTTGTTGGGCCATGCCCCTTTTGCAGAGGTTCCAAAATATAGTCGCCAGAATTTTTTAATGGCCTGAAGTAAAAAAGAAATGCTAAGTTTTTCACGAAGCTAAATGTAATCAGTGTAAAGGGATCCTTTGTTAGTGATTATATTCTTTTTGTGTGCATTATACTATCTATGAATCTAAGACAGTAGTTTTTGGGGCATTTTAAAAAATGCCTTTGTATGGCAAAACAAAAAAATGTGTAATACCTCCCCTTTTCAATCACTACTATGCTGCTTGGAAAGTTTCCTACTAACATGTATGATTAATGTATACTGGAATATTAAAGGAAGGAGACGACACACGGCACAGAATTGGCTTTCTGTAGTTCTTTAGGTCTCCTCGACCCCACCAGATTTCTCCTTGCTCCCTGCCCAGTCATGCCCCAAAGGTGCTTTCGAATGTCCCATTTCTCTCTCACTACAAGAAACAGATGCCATTAGCCAGTTAAAAGATAGCTCGAATGCTACACAATGAAAATTCGCCCTCTGAATCCAAATGCTGCGTTTCTCTTTTTCTGTACAAAACACTTATATCCTTAAGGTTCCTGAGACAGCCACCTCCAAGTTTAAACTCTGATTATGCTCCTAATGTTGCTCTGGCTCTGAAAATGAGGACGGGAGACTTGCTGATGACATATTGGCAGTCTCCTTTCCCTGCTCCTGGCCAAAAAAAGGTGGGGGTAGGGGTAGGGAGGGGAGGGAATTGTGGGAAAAATAATTAGCCGCTGAAAGCAGCTATTACATAATCTTGGCTGCTTATTAATTTAGCAGAAGGAATGGCTTATTAAATTCTAATAGCAACAGCACAACTGCAAACAACCTAGCAATTAACAGTGCAGGGCCCATTATTTTGTTAATATGTTCTCTTCTTTTGGCAAGTGTATGAGAACAAAATTTATAGAAGCAGATGGTCTTTTTCAGTAGATTATAGATGGTTTATTCCCTTGTCTTAGTATTAAGTGCTAATTGTGCATTCACTGTGAAAGACAAAAGAAACATGGTTGCCATCTTTGTTAGTAATTAACTGCTTGACTTTGATTCCCACAATTTCCCAATTGTAGGCTTTGTTGTATACATGTTTCTTCTCATCTAGTATCTTCTTCATCTGTCATGTCAATTGGTTGTCTTTTTTAATCCTCTGTTTTTGTTTTCTTTATGGTCCTGATTTATTGGTGTTAATGATACAAGAATTATACAAAATTTATTTCATGAAAAATTAAAAATCAGATTTTATACTTGTTTCTTAAATTTGAAATAAAATACTTCACTGTCATTTATGCTAAATGTAAGAGGTGAGGGGAAAACAGAAATTTTTACCCTCTAACAATAAGATTTTGAGGCTTTTTATGTAATCTTTCCAAAGTTTTCAAAAATAATTTTAGTTCCTGTTAAATATGTGATGGCCATATACTTTTATCCTCTCACTGTCTCAAAATACCATTAAATTTTTTAAAAGGGGGACTATTTAAAACACATACCCACGTGGAAAATAAGAGAGGGAAGGAACATTTACATGAGGATGTCAATAAGGATGTCAGGATACACTGTCAGCTCATCATTTAAACACTGATGATTTAAAGAAAAATTGTAATATATTGATATTATGGAGGAGCAGAAGTGAGGGGAGGTTGAAATAATGCTAAATCCTCACATGCTAAAGGGAGGAAAATAGATAACATCCAAAATAAATCACGAAATAGAATTACTAGCATATTCTTTAGATACCGGGAAGTAAATCCCAGAAGCAATTGTGAATTTCTTTCCATGGACAGAATCTTGCAGTAGGATGTAATAAAAGGTATTATTACATTTTACTTAGATTTTTTTCCTTAAATAATTTTTTAAAATATTGTAATGAAGTCGATAAAAACCATTCAGTTGCTAGCTCTGTATTATGGACTTATACGGAGTTCCTTTAGCCAGTCTATGGATTATTTAGAAGTTATTAAATAAAAATGCCCAATAATGGAATTCAGTGCTAAAGCTGTGTAGAAGATCACAGAAAGTGTAAGAAAGATGCTTAGAGTTTGTGAATTTGCATCTCCAAAGATAAAGTTGTTCCAGGGAGAAAAGTGGCCTAAAATAATGAGGATTTGTGAACCAAATCATTTCAAAATAGATAGAGCTGTCACTGCCAAAGTCCTCAACAATGAGCTAAAGAGAAATGTGGAACATATGCTCTTTCTCAAAGCCTGTTTCCATAGCTTTGAATAAAATGCAGGAAAATTACTACTCCCCTATTAACATTAGGTTAGAGCAATGATTCTCAGCCTGGGCACTTTTGCCTCCCAGGGGACCCTTGTCAGTGTCTGGAGACATTTTAGTTGTCACTACTAGGAGTAGTAGGTGATGCTGCCAGCATCTAGTGGGCAGAGACCAGGGATGCTGCCCAGCATCGTATCCTGCAATGTACAAGACAGATCCCGTAACAAAGAATGATCCAGCGCCAGATGTCAGTAGTGCCAAGGTTGAGGAAGAAATCCTGGGTTGGTCACTAAGAAGATTAACATGAAGTAGCATATATATATTTTTTTTGATCTTCAACCTCGATATCCTTTCTTCTGCTTGGTCAAAGTAGCATATTTTTATAGACATTTCAAGAAATGGAACAAACACTATCTTCATATAAGTTTCTCTCTCTCTCTTCTCTTCTCTCTCTCTTCCTCTCTCTCTCCCCCTCCCCCTTTCTTTCTCAGAGTTGGAGGCATTATTCTGAATATCTGCTAGATAAAATCATAAACTGCTGAAAAGACTGGCGGAATACATAAAGCAGTCAGTACTCTTTAATAACAACTATCCAAATTGGTTTTTAAAAAATAACCCCAGAATATTAGTAAAAGTTAGTTAAGTACTTGAATCCATGAGATGACTATTCCATACATACATACATTGTAAATTTTTGTTATGTATGTACTTTATGCTGGGCACTCTGGAAGGTAATGAAGATTTAAAGACAAATAAGATATAGACTTGGTCCTAAAGCTACATTTCTTCTGGCACAGAATTTCAAGTCTTTTAGAGACAAACCCTGGGTGGTCAAAGGATAGTCACCAACCAAACGCATGAACATTTTCTTTTAAGAAACCCCTAGAGATGCTTCATAGAACCTTAGATTTCTGTAACTAACACCTTTGAAAACTACACGCTCTAATGACCTCCCAGGGCTCTTCGCAATATTTTCGTTCGGTGAATTTTTATAACACTCTTAATTCACAGCAATGAAGAGAGAGATTCTATATGTTTTAAACAAATGATTTCAAATAATGTCTTGATTTGGTCCTTGAAGTGAAACGCTTCGACAATGATCTAAATCAACTCCAAGTCGCCAAACCAGTGGTTCTGGAATATTCTCTTAGAGGACTTGTGAAAGTACAGGTTGCTAGACCTCATTTCCAGAGTTTCTGATTCAGGAGGTCTGAGGTGAGGCCTGAGAATCACTTTACTAACAAGTTTCCAGGTGATGCTGATGCTGCTGGTCTGGGAACCACAATTTGAGAACCATTGCTCTATACCAAAAAAAGCTATGATATCCAACTATAAAGTTGTGATATAATTTCCCCAGACAAATTGTCTAAAGGAAACTTGAGATCTGATTTTTTTTTAATCGCTGATCTCATTAAGCCTGAGAAGATTAGAAGAGTAATATTCCCAGTTATATTCACCTGAAGCTAAATCTATATGCACAACTGAGAATGACATATGGCCATTGTATGCCCTACACAAACTAATGCACTGTCATATTCTAAGGCAGAAATTGGAGTGCTTAGGGAAACTTCAAGGTTGCCTCATAAAAGTCAGATGGTTGCTTGATGAAAATCACTACCTTAAAAATATTTCCCAACTACTCATGGCAAGTAGGAATCACCTCTGAAATATTTCGTCAGCAACTAAAGACATGCGGTAGAAAGG